CCGGCTGCTGAGCCCCGCGGGCCGGGGGGAGCAGCGGGAGCCGTGCGGGGCTCCGGGGAGCCTGGGACTTCCTCTCGGTGCGCCCCGGGATCCCTTCCCGGGGCTGGGCACACCTGACCCCCATCCCGCTGCGCCTTCTCCGTGCATCCCGGCTCTCCCAGCGCGCATCCCTCAGTCTGTGCACCCCGTTTTTTATGGCCCCCACCATTCCCCCCTCCGTGACACCCCACACACCGTCCATCCCCACAGCACAGCCCCCGGCTCTCCCCAGTGCGCCCAAGTCCCGCCCCGCAGCTGCTGTCACCTTGTCGCCCTCCCCTCACCTCTGTGTTCACCCAAACCCTCCCTGCGCCTCTGAACCTCCCCGGTTTTCCTGGGCCGGAGCGGCTGCGGGATCGATGGGCACGGCTTTATTGATCAGGCGGACCGAGCAGCCGGGCGGGGATGGAGCGGGACGAGGGAGGGCAGCGCCTCAGCCCCTCCCGAGCCGGGACGGAGCCGCACTCACCTGCGCGGGCCTGGCAGCTCTGCTCGGCCGCGGGGAAGTTTTCCTCCTCCTGCTGCCCATAAAAGCCCCAGACATCCATTTGCCATTAAACACCCCCGGGCTCTCCGGCTCTGACAAACCTTGAACTTGCGCCGCGGGCCCGGCGCCGGGAGCAGCCGCGGCGGGGAGCGGAGGCAGCAGCCGGGAAGGCTCAATCCATAAATCCTGTCCTGGGCGCGCACGGTGCTTTATGGACAGAGCCCGTGCTGAAGGTAACGCGGCCCGGGGTCAGCGCAGCTCCTCGGCAGCCGCGCCGCAGCTCCGGCTGCGGCTTCCCGACGGGAAAGGCGCAGGATCACAGGCTCGCTGTGGCTGCTTTGAGTTAGGAGAGACCTTAAAGCTCCTCTCGTTCCAACCCCACCTCCATGGGCAGGGACACCTTCCTCTAGAGCAGCTTGCACAACCTTTTTTTTTTTACTTATTTATTTATTTTTTTTTTTCGGTGTGACCAAATACTGCAATAGGAGATTTTTAAATTTCTCTTTTCCCCCGTTAGGTTTTCCCAGCCCAGGCTGGTCGGTGCTGGTGAGCCGGGGGAGCAGGAGGAGGCCAGAAAGTTTAGAGGACACCCCCCTGAGCCCTCCAAATTTCTGGTGCCTGTGAGGCCCCCCGGGAATGCCGAAGATGAGTTATCCTAAGACACCGGTTACAGCTCAGGACCTCAGCATCATTCAGTGGGCTCAGCTCCTCCCTGGAGAGCCCCTGTGCCCCCCAGGCCTGGCTGTCCCCGCGGGGACATCGCTGCCACCCAGCTGCAGCATTTGGGCTCGGGCTGCTCCTTACCTGGTTCCCCGGGCAGAGGCACCATAAATACCCTGCCCTGGGTGCAGAGGGGCACCTCGGGAGGGGCTCAGGGGGCACAGCTGGATCCTCTGAGGCTCTCGGGGGGCCGGGGGCACCTGGGATGTGTTTGTTCCCTGATGGGCCGGCCCGTGGCAGCTGGGCAAGGACCGCTGCCCGGGGGTGTCCCCGCGTTTCTCTGCGTTTATCTCTGCGGTGTCACATCCCAACGGGAGTGTGAGGAGTGCGGAGATGTGTCCGAGAAGCTGAGCAGCCCGGGGGGCCCTGGAGCATCCTGGAGACGGGATTTGCCGCTCCTGTTCCCTGCCCCAGAGGGCCGAAGGAGCTCCGTGTGTGTGCCCTGCCCCCGGAGCAGCCCCCGCAGAGCGGTGCCGCGACCTGGGACAGTCCCTGTCCCTCCTGCCCCTGCCCCTCCTGTCCCTGCCCCTCCTGCCCCTGCCCAGCCCAGGCTGCCGGGGCTTCCCGGAGCAGCTCCGTGGGATGTGGTGGCTCCCGGCTTGTCCTGCCCAGGGCAGCGCTGGGCACGGCGGGGCCCCGGAGCCGAGCGGGGCCGGTGCCCGCTGCGGTGGCATCGCCCCCTCCTCGCCCCTCCGCCACCGCCGAGCCGCTGCTCCCGCTGCTCTCCAGGGGATTTGGCTCCCTGCAGGAGTTTTTCTTTCCCAACAAAGCCCCAAATTCCCAGGTGTTGCCCGCGGTCCATCCCTGGCCCATGGATGCCTCCAGGTGAACTTTCCTTGCAGGACCGGGAGGCAGGAAAGCATCCACGCCACCCCCAGCTCCAGCCCTGCCTTTGGCTTTTCCTCTCGGGTATCCAGGGATCAAATGAAGCTCCCGAGAGCTGTTCCCGGCGATTGCTCAGTTATTAACGCCACCACACTGCCGGCGTGGAGCCCAGGGACAGCGACAGGTACGGGACCCCTCCCGGCTCTTCAGGCTGTTCGGATAACAAAGACGGGCGCTTTGCCTTTGGAATGCTGACAGCGGGCTGGATTTTGGCCGTGGGATACGAGAAACAAAATATTTTCTAATTCTGTGCTGATTTAAAGGCAAACTTCCAAGGGTTCTTCTCACGGGAGCTTTGCCGGGCAACGGGAAAGGGAAATGTGGAAAATATTGGAAGTTTTGGCACAGATGGGACATATTCCGTTTTTCCCACATCCACTCCCATGGGAATCAGCATCACTGAGGTTATAGGAGGGGAGACAGAGAGGTGAGAGTGGTGTGGGGCTGCCGGGGGAGCCCTAAAGGAGCAGCTGGGGTGAGGAGGGGGATCGGGGGGTCACTCTGCAGTTGTGGGATCCTCCCTGAACTCATTACACACCCTGAGGCCATCCTCCGGGCAGGACTCAGCTGCAGGGTGTGACATTGCTGCATTTCCTGCAACCTTTCCAGCCAAGAAATGCCACAATTCAGACCCCAAAAAATTGCAGCAGGGAAGAGGAGAGAGGGAAAAGCCATCCCCGGGCAGCCCCAGGTTTGGGTCAGCTCCTGCCTGCGGGGAGAGCAGCACTGCTGAGCCCCTCCCCAGCACCCAGCACTTCCAGGAAAATCTCCCTGGAGCTTCATTCCCATCCCTGGACATTTTGGGAACAGGGTGACTTCACACCTGGGCCATGTTTTGTGTCCTGGCCATCTCAAAGTCATTTTTGAGTGCCCTGAGGCAGGATTTGCTCAGCCCGGTGGTGCTGCATCCCTGGGGGATCCCTTGGGGCGGGTTTGGGGGTTCCTGCACTGCTGGGGTGCCCCATGCCAGGCTCACCTGCATCCCACAAGGCACAGACACGGACTGGGATGCTCTTGGTGCAGGGAGAGGAGCTGGGCTGGGTTCAGGACTTGGGTGAGCTCAATTCTGGCCAAATTTCCTGCATTCCCCCTCAGCTGTGCCCCTCGGTGCTGACGGGTGTGGCAGGAATTGGGGTCCATGTGGGGACAAACCACCCCCAGACCCCGTATCCAGGCAGGAGGGGGAGCTTCGGGAAGACCCAGCCTCGCTGCTGCTCAGCTGGGAACGCCAGCAAGGCTGAGAGGAGCTGCTCAATCCCAAACTTCCCTCCTCTGCCCTCTCCTCCAGCCCCATCCCTCCAGATTCTGCTGGGAAGGGGCAGATGAGCAGATCCCTGGCTGCACAGAATCCCAGGATTTGGGTGAGGAAAGGAGATGGAGGCCCCAGATTCCCCTGGACTCATCCCACTGATGAACCACATGAATTACAATCCTGCCCTGCTTTAACCAGGAGGCTTTTCCCAGCTCCATCCCACACGGGTTTTCAGGGTGAGTCCTCCCCTCCCAACCTCCCTGGCAGGAAAAGCAGCAGGAAAAACCCTGGGATTGCTGAGTTTTAAACTACATCTGAGAGAGAGAGGGGGAGAGAGAGACCTTTTATCCAGGGAAAGCTGCTGCGAACTGTTAGGGATAAATAAATGGCAGCGCTGCCGACGCCCTGCCTGGCTCACAGGGAGGGAATTTGTCTCACTTTAGCAGAAGGACCTGGAGGAACGGGGCTGCTGGCTCATTCATCGCCTGTTATCTGCCAGCGAGGTTGTGACATCAGAGCAATTAAGACAAACTTTAGTCTGTAAGTTCAAGCCTGCAACCTCTACACTTCAAAAGAAGACAAACGATCCCTCCAAGGAAGGAAAGCAAGTCTTTTCCAGGCTGCTTCCAGAATAACATTTAGGATTTGCAGTGGTTTGGGAGGGATAATTCACTGAATTGTGGGGGGGTTGAAGCCCTGGTAGAAAATAAACCACCTGAGTATTTTTTTTTTTTTTTTATTTTTTAGCAAAAGTTTATTTCTAATGCAAAGACAAGCAAACAAATCCCAACCTCCTCCCACCCAACTCACTCACCCCAAACCTGCCTCTCACATCCATGGTTTATTTTTTTTTTCCTTTTAATAAGCATTTTTACACAAGGACTGATTCAACTTGTGTTGGTCTGTTGTGGAAACGTCCCCAGGAATTGCAGGAGCCAGGAGCACCCAGCAGAGACATTGCAGCCATTCCTTTTTCCTGGAACACCAAACCTGGAGCCTGTGCTTCACCTGGCTGAACCCACAGCTGTGCCAGGGCCTCCCCACCCTCCCAATCTCCCATCCATCCCTGCCCTCTGGCACTGGGATCCATTCCCTGTGTCCTGTCCCTCCATCCCTTGTCCCCAGTCCCTCTCCAGCTCTCCTGGAGCCCCTTCAGGCCCTGGCAGGGCTCTGAGAATTCCTGGATCCTTCCCTTCTCCAGGGCAACATTCCCAGCTCTCCCAGGCTGGCTGCAGAGCAGAGCCCTGTCCTCTTTCTCCTCCCCTTTTCCACCTCAGCACACCCTCTCTTGTTCAGGGATCAGCCTGCAGAGCCTGACCATGGATGCTCCTCATGTCCCAGCAGCTGGCACTGGGAGCAGAGAGGGCATTCCCAGTCACTCACTGGTGTGATGCTGACCCTCCTGGCACCCCTCACCTCCTCACAGGGTGGGCAAGCCCAGATATTTCTCTTTTTTTGTCTGTTTGCTTTTGTTTTACACTTAAACCCAGTATTCAGTGGCTGCCTGCACTCAGAGACAGCCACCAACTCGTCAGGAAATCTTCTGGACACTTGGACAGGAGCAACAGTTAAAAAATACTCTGGAGTCAGGAAACAGAACATTCAGTAACCCAAAAATAGAGATATAAAATACTTGCTTTAAGGCTGTGTACAGTATAACTGAAGATAAACCTGGAAATTGCTCAGCAACAAAAGAAACAATTAAGAAAATTCCTTAATGTGGCGGTGAGGAAAAGGCAGCCAACAAACACCCTGATTTTGTTGATGCTTCTAGGAAATAGTTGGAGTAAAATACGATCTGGATAAACTGAGAGTCCAAAGGTGGAGATCCTGGTGTGGGCAGAGCTCTTGGGGTGCTGCAGAGCTCACTGGGGTCCCTGGGCTCGCCGCTCCTCCAGCATCCTGCACACCCACATGGACACCACCTCGGCATTGCCGTCGTTGTACTGCACCACAAAGGGGTGGCCCTGCAAGGGGACAGGCAGGGTCAGCCAGGAGAAACACACACAGCCCTTCTGGAGCACAAACCCCACAGGAGAAACACACACAGCCCTTGTGGAGCACAAACCCCACAGGAGAAACACACACAGCCCTTGTGGAGCAAAACCCCAGTGCAGCATCCCATGGCTGCACCACAGCAGTGCCATAAAGCACTGACTCAGAGCAGTGAGAGGCAGCCCAGACTCCTTGGAAATGCTCTTTTTTTTTTTGGTTGATATTCCATTTGCTCGTTGTGTTCTGAGCCAGCCCCTTTCCAGGACAGCTGAGCAGTTGCTGAATGGTGTTTGGCTAAAATGATAACCCAAAAAACCCCATTAATCTGCTTGTAAATTTGTGTGATGTCCTAAAATTCCTTCTTTAACAACCCCCCACCGTGCATCCTCCACGTGCACTGACTCTCCAGAGCCTAAAGGGCATCCAGGAGAGCTGGAGGGGGCCCTGGACAAGGCAGGGAGTGACAGGATGAGGTGTTTTGCCCAGCACTGGGGTGTTTTTGGGTGGAAAAGTGCAGGAATAAGATAAATGCTTTTATCTCCAACACAGCCTAGAAGCAGCTATTTCACCTCTTCAACAGAACAGCCAAGGACACCAGAGAGAAGCAGGAGAGAACAATCAGGAGGCACAGACAGGGCAGAGCAGATGAACTGAGGCAATCAAACCCAAATATTCCAGCCAGTCCTTTCTCCTTTAGCATGGAGAGACCCCACAGCCAAAGCCCCCTCACCCCCAGGATATCCCTGCATTTAGGCTGCTCCAAATGAAAATTCAGCTCTGAAACCTCAGCTCTGCACACTGCTCACCCTGTTTGCTTTGGTTTCTGAGGATAGTCCACCAAAACCTGGGGGTTTCCACACTTTTCTCCTTAGGAATGAGTTTAACTTGAAATTACTCTTCAGATTTCTCATGTTTTTACTGTCTTGCTCCAGTGAGGATTCTTCTCAGGCTGAAGGGATGTTTTTACTAGAAACTGTCTTTTCAGAATCTGGTGGCTAATTTTTTTTGAGTTGTTTGTTTTGAAACTGGGAATGGGAGAACAGAGATTTCCACCAAAACTCAGCAGGATCCATCTTTGCAAATCTTGGTGAACAGCTTGCAGCATTTTCAGGTCAGGCACCAAAAACCAAGGAGGACACAAGTGGCCCAAAGATGTCCAGTGCTCAGGGATGTGCCAAAATCTACTTCCAAACCCCTCTGCTGCTTTTAATACCTGACCTCACTCAGCAGCACCTGCAACTGCAATAAAACCATTTATGCAAGAACCCCACAGAGCTGGGGGTAATGCAGGAGTGCACCAAACCTGGCCTTGGCCCTTTGCAGTGAGATTTGGAGTGAAAATCAGCACAAATTCCAAGAGAGGGACCTGCAGTTGGCTCAGCACCCAAATATGTCTCAGGGAATTATTGGAGTTTTCCTCCAAGGTCTCCAGCACTGCAGCTGCAGTGGTTTTCTGTCCCTTCACAAATCTCTCCATAAACTCATGCCTGCCCTCCATAATTCTGTCATTATTCAGCACCCAATCCCACATTCCCCCCTTTTCAGGCATCCTGAGCATTGCAATCCTTACCCAGAGCACACAGACCTCAGAAAGCAGTGCCTGAAACTGGAAATTCCTCTGCAAAGGATGGGGGAGAGAAGGGGCAGGGAGCTGAGACAGGGAGGGAAGGAAGAACAAGGGAAAAACCCAAATAAAAAGCCAAAGCACCAAGGGAGAAATGCAGCAGGACAGAGCTGTCACCTCAGAGAGGAGACAATGACAGCCCCAACAGTTTGGACACTGCCAATAAATCCTGGTGCCTGCCTCAGCCACAAATAAAGTCCCAGCCCTGACTCCAGGAGTGAGCAATATGTTCTCGCCCAAAGCCAGCAACCTGCTGGGCTTAAATATTCCTGCAGGGATTTACTGCAAGGGAACACTGAGAAAAGGTAAATGTGTGGGAGCTTGAAATGCATTTTCTGTTGCAGGGACCAGTTCCACTTCTGGAGAGGTTTCCCTGCCTGCTGTGGCATGCACAGCTTTATGTTTGGGGGCACATGATCCCATCCCTGTGTATTTCACCTCTCCTCAGATTCCTATGCACATTCCCAGCAAAACAATAACCACCTCCTTCCCAATTGCTCAGCCTTAAAAATACCTGGAAATAGCACTGGCAGAGGGAAATAGATTTTTAAATATTCAGCCTTAAAAAATACCTGGAACTCAGCACAGCCAGCAGGAGAGAGGTTAAAAATCCAGCACCAAAGTGGCTTTCCTTACTGGCCTGGTACTGCTGTGCCATGCCCTGGCTCAGTGGGATGCACTGGGAATCCTGCAGGGAATGGGAAGTGGCTGCTGCAGAGGCTGGAGCTGGAAAGGTCAGGCAGGACAGGGCCAGGGCTGGCCCTGAGTGAGTGTCAGGCAGCCTAATTTTGTGTGTCAACCCTGAAAATGAGATAAACAATGACAAACCAGGCTTTTTAAATGAACTTGTCTCTTCTGGTTCTCTTGATAAAGGGTACATTTCTCGAGTTGCAGTGTCCCACCAGACAGGTTTAACTCTTTCACAGGGGAGCTCCTGGCAGAGGGGGAGGTGAAGGATTTAAATACCTGACAGGAAATTAAAAGGGCAGTGCCCCCCTGAACACAGGGCCCTGGTAATTCCAACTCAGTGCTCACCAACCATCCATCATTCAGCCCAGTCAATTAAATCCCCATTATTCAAGGGTAAAAGTTCCATCATTTTATCTACCCCTAAAATTCAGCAATTTGCTTTCATGGCCTTGTCCTCTGGCCTAAAAAGAATCTTTGTTTCTGATAATAACCCACCCTGAGCTTATTGCCACAGACCTTGCATGGCATGCTGGGCAGGACTGCAGGTCCAGGGGCATTTTCCAGCTCCAAGTGCCCACCTGGAGAGTGCAGCTCTGCTCCAGGGGGATGAAATTCCCTCTGGGATACAAAATCATTACCCACAGCCCCAAATCCCTTCAGTCTAAAGCACAGGTAACAACTTCCACTGCCCCTCACACACAAATCCAGGGAAGAGGAGAGCTTCAGGAGAGCCTCTCCCACAAACAGGATCCTCTGGCCATGAAATGTTGTGTTTGGAAGCACCAGGGAGGTTCAGACCAATGCCAAGGGACAGGCAGACCATAAACAATGCCCCTCATGCAGTGCCTGGGATTTCAGGCACAAAAGGAGGCAGTGTTTATGTGAGACTGCTCTAAAGGTCCATGAACAGGCAGCCACCAGCCTGGAATGGTGACAAAGCACATTCCCAGTGTGAAACGCCAGTCAGCCACAGATTTCCTTGGAAATCACCGAAAATGAGAGATTTCCTCCCCAGGGTGGTGCTCCCTGGGGCACAGAAGATGGCAGGAACCTGAATCCCAAATGGTGGGAGAACATGAGATCTAACCCACTCCAGCACCTCCTTTTATTTTTTTTCCCCTGGCATAGTGAGAGGCTGACTGGGGAGGGCAGCCAATTAAAAATGATAATAAAATTCCTCATGCTTATGCAAGGAAGGTTGGGAAATGAGTGGCACTGCACTGGTTGCAGTGGTGTCACCCTTTTAACATTTCTTTTTCCAGGAACCCTCCCAGCCTGAACTCCATTTATCACCAAGCAGCACAGACAAATCACGCCTTCCATTAAAAAAATTCTGAACTCAACACAACAAAAAAACCACAATAAAAAAGATCCCAACTGTTGCAGCCACAGCCTATCAAGACAATGGCCGTGCCCTCAGACAGCATTTCAAATACAGTTTATTAGTGTGTGATATGAAAAGGGTATTTTTATTGCATGATATAATGCAATGGGACCTTGGGCGCTCTGCAGAAGGACCTTGCACTCAGAAGTGTAATGAACCCATAGTCCAAAAAACATTATACTGTACATTAACCTATCATTAATGGCACATTAGGGCTGGGGGCATTGCACGCTCGCTGGGCAGGGCTCCATCAGGACAGTGTGCAGGAAACCACAGTCTTCCCAGGCTTAAAACAAATAGAGAAAATAAATATTACTGCTGGCTGCAGGCTGCTCTGAGGGAAGCTCACTCGCTGCTTAACTTGCAGGTTTTTAAAGGGGGGATGAGGAAGATGCAGCAGTTTATTGGGTGGTGTTGGCATGCTCTGAATGCATCAGGTGCAGCTTTTCCTGCACAAAACACAGCCCCTGATAAGAACAGAGTGGAAGCTGGAAGCCTGCTCCCCTCCCCTGCCATTCCCTAATTCCTCCCTGGCAGCAGGAGTTGGGAATGGGAAGAGCATCCTCCGACCCAGCTCTCTGTTGGACACCTGGGATCTCTTTTGCCCCTGCACTCGTTACACCTGAGCAGAATTCCAGCCCTGCCAGCACCAACTCCATGTGAAATGTGAGCAAAACACCAAATCCCTGCTGCTCCCAGAGCAGGTGGGATGTTCCAGGCCTTCCCCCACTCCAGGTGCTCTGTTCAAAGGAAAGCCACAGAGCAAATGTTAAATCAGGAAAGCCTGGCTGGCAGCTCATCCCTCCAACTCCAAAAAATCCCAACTTGGCTGTCCAACAGCACATCCCACTTGGTTCTCCCATTGCTCCTGAGGTGCCTGTGCTGTGCACAGCTCTTGTATGAACTCAGGGCATGGATTCGAGGGGAAATCCCTGCCCATCCTCATGTTTAATGGGGGACAGGTCCCACCTCCAACAGGACAAACACAAAGCTCAGCTCAGGAGCTGCTTCCCAGGACTCCTGGAAACACCAAGTGCTGAGCAACCCAAAGAGCTTCCCAGAATTCCTGGAAACACCAAGTGCTGAGTAACCTAAACCACCCCACACTGACCCCGGTCCCCCTCCAGTGCCCTCAGCACACGTCAGGATTTCATCACTCCAGCCCTGCCTCCAGTGCTGGAGGATTTTCCATCTCGAGCTGCTGCCTCCAAGGACAAGCCACACTAAAAGCTGTTCTAATTATCTGTGCCAGCTACCCACAGTATCCAACTGCG